AAATTATTGGAACACCGATCTCCGTCATTTGTTTTTTTTCGAGAAACATTCAAAGAATTGCATTCAGTTGACACACGCTGAATATAAATATTTCACCAGGACGGAAATATCCTACACGCAGAACATACCAAACTGCAGGAAATAAATGTAGAGTTTTAAGCCAACTTCATTTCATTAGAGTTCAAACGATCTCCATGGAGGCTTTTAAGTGCATCAAAGGCTGGTAAAATTACAACGGTCTTCATTAAAGCGTTTTATGACCAGCACTAAACTCTATGAAAAATGGCGCTCTTTTGTGCGATGTTACACAACTCACACAGACCTGTGTTGTGTGTCTTCCGTTATTCAACGGCAGCTGACACAGCCCTGTGTTGTGTGCTTTCCGTTATTCAACGGCAGCTGACACAGCCCTGTGTTGTGTGCTTTCCGTTATTCAACGGCAGCTGACACAGCCCTGTGTTGTGTGCTTTCCGTTATTCAACGGCAGCTNTCTCTTCCGCTATTCAACGGCAGCTGACATAGCCCTGTTTTGTGTTCTTTCCGATATTCAACGGCAGCTGAAACAGCCCTGTGTTGTGTCTCTTCCGTTATTCAACGGCAGCTGACACAGCCCTGTGTTGTGTGAATTTCTTTACACAAGAGCAGCTGACACAGCCCTGAGTTGTGTGACTTTCGTTACACAAGTTATTTTCGAGATAAATCGCTCGTAACTTCGTGACCTCCTAATTCGACATGTTAACTGAATTTTAAAAGGCTTTAATTGTGAAAATTTTACTGAATGCCTCCAATTTATAATGTTTTCAAAACAGTTACTGAAATAATAGTTAAATATTAATATCAATTGTTGAAATAATAAGTTAAACCCGTCGATTAAATGCAAATATAAGAGAAAAATCAAATGATTAGAGAAGTGAAGAAATTCGTCTTCATCCAAATGCTCAATTTTATTTCAGCAGTACTCCGTAAAACACCGAGAAACTGCATTCTCTGTTATCTGTTTTTCACATCTCTGTTCTTATAGTTTCTTGCCATTTTTTCTATTGAAAACTAAAAAATGTACGAGAAGAGTATAAATGCAATCCAAGGCATATATAATTATTTGAAGACATCATCTTCAACAGTACAGTTCCTCTCTGATCGAATATTCTCTGTAAAATATCTCGTGTGGTTTTGCTCTTCGACAGCCAAAAGCCTAATGAATACCATTTAAATTCAAGGAGAGCAGCTCTGAACGCAAATACATCCACATTTGAAACTGGGCTGAACGTCATTGTATTTTGATGCCATTAAAATGAAGTACAAACTCCACGTGCAGAAATGGAGTGCATAGGAATAGGCGAGTTGGAATAAATTTTGTTCTAGCTTCAGAGCTTGGCAGCGGATATGGCTTCAGTCGTCAGTGGATATGGCCTCAGTCCTCTAATCGTTGTGTACACGACAAACTGTGGGCACAAGAGAATAAAGGCAGTCCGGTGGTCTGCTGACAGTGAGATTTGAGCTACACGTTGAATTGGATTGAGGACTTTGAGCTTTTAAATAGAGCAGAAATGGAAAACTGGCAGCTAACGGCTATTCGTAGGTTGATATTCTAATTATAGGTTGATGTTCCATTAATTCAAGAAAATTCGTAGGTTGATATGTGGAAAACGCCTCACCCACGACCGTTCATCAGTGTCCTAGAATATACAGTGGCAAAGTTTGTGCATTTCCGGGAAAATACTGAGAGTTTATTTCTATTCGATTCTTTTCGTTCATCGTTTTACTCCTCGGGTGGGCACGCAACGAAAAAAAGCAAATAATGCAAACTTCACAAATATATAGAATGGAAAATAGCGTCAGTGATAAGTCAAAAAGCATGTCCAAATATGGCAAAGACACGAGATTACGGTGGGTATTATTATCGCTCGTGTGAACAAAATTTCGAGAAAATTAATGATAAAATTCGAGATTTTCACTAATACCCAATAAAAATTTTGATTCCTGTCACCCGCTGTCACAAGGACGCCCAAGCTTGCCTAACGCACGAATTAGCGGCTCTATATATATCCGCTTTAGGTTCCGGTTGTACGAGGGAAATAAGCACCTTATTAGAATCTTGCCTATTCCCTGACAACCGTGCGGCGAGTGCGGTGCGCGCGTTTTTGGCGCCTGATACCTTCGAGATAGACGCGGCCAAATCTGAAAAGCGCGTTAAAAATGCCCCCTTCCCTGATTTCTGTCAGCCGCCCAGAATCTGACAGCTATAAGCGCCTGGTCCTTTTCTGCCCACTCTTGCCCTACTCTCAAGAGACTTTAAAGGCGGCCAGGAGGTTCTGACTAGTCGCTTATTGCGATCAGGTGGCCAACCAGACCCAGAATAACTCTAACGCGAACATAGCAACTCTAGGGCGGAGGCTAAAACATCCTCCGAATTTTGTAAGGGTATATGACATGTGACTCCCGAAAACGGCTCTTAATTAATATGTTGCAGAATATGATAGGCGGCCGATTCAGAGGTGGCCTCCGGCGCCTCTGAACGGAATCTGGATCTCGACTGGGCACAAAAATACTGACGAAACAATACAAACAGTTTCAAAATTTTGACGAAATTAGTACTATCTAAAAGCGTATTTGTACTAAACCTCCGAAATTTTTCCTCTATCAGTTTCCAGTGTTAAAAAATCACTAATTAATGTCTATAAAAACTGCTAGAGAACAAGAAAGAAACTCAAACCAGTTCAACTAAAAATTAACAGTTCACTGAGTGAGGCGTTATAATAGGTGCGTTCCTCAGCTTCATTGCACCGACACCGTTTTTGTCCTAACACGCATAAAAAACCTAGACAATTCCTTTGTCGTGGTGCTTTGTTGTTCGAATACGATGGCCATTAGCGTTCCTTTGTTCCACGTACAGCGACGTGCATCTCGTTAATTATTAAGAAGCATTTTTCAGCCTCTCGTAAATGACCTCGCTGCGCATGATGACGAGCAACTGGGATAACATCGCTTGCAAGAACTAGAAAGAATATTCCCGCAATTTCGCCTTGTAATGAACACGTGTGTCTGTACGCAGCATCATATGGAACTTGAGTAATGAGAATTAAATAGCTAGGATAAATAGCTTTCATTTCGATTACCAAGTAATAAAATGACGGTGCTAGTTTACATTAAAGAAAAGCTCCTGCCGTGCAACTTGATGTGATCGCAGAGGCTTAAATTTCAAAGCATTGCAGTGAGTAACGTTGCCTCTACCCAGTGAAAATTTACAGACGCGGCAGCTTTGGATTACCAGAAGCTAGGGCGACTCCAAATTTTGTTAGGGTAAGTAGCCTTTATCTTAGAACTTCAAGACAGGGTAATTTTATGATGCGCGTTGCAGCGTTTCAATTCATAACGTTGAAATTAATTGTTGAAATTCAAAGAAACTACTTAGAAAAGAAGTAACTGAAGGATCCATTGTTCTCTATTTCACTCGATCAGAAAATTTTTCCATGATAATATCAGAAGGTTTCAAATATTACGGTGCAGTGCCATTAGTATTACTCCCGGCTAATTCAAGTTTGCACAACAACGCTGAAAAACATCTGCCTGTAGCGTCCTCCTGAACTTCCTTTAATAAATTACTCCGCGTAGGCCTCTCCTGACAACTTTTAATTAAGTTTCAACACTGGCAATCATCGCCTGAACTAATTTAAAGCTGAATATAAAATTAAATTTATTTATTTCAAATATACTCTCATAATGATTAAAGAGCGTATTTTAAAATGGCTTTCTTTGGTTTGGAAAAACCTTCTTACCTAATTTGTTTCAATGAAATCAGGGAACTGAAAAATGTAACAATTATATCACAGTAGACGCTCCGAATCAAAGAGAAGACCAAGTAAACTTTCCCAATTAACTTTTGATATCATTTAATTGCTTAACTTACAGAGCGCATTTGAATATTTTGGCCAGTGTTCCCGGCTCAGAACGATGCAGTTCATTATACGCAGTACTGGCTTAAGTAATTAGCCGGTCTGAGTTCAGAATTTATTTCAGGACTAGCATTTCAAGCTTGAGTGATTCATTCATTTGCTGTAAGCCTGTGTAATAATATTAGACGATCGTTCTAATAGTACAAGTCATTTGTAATATTGACTAATATAATGCGAAATGAAACACAGTAATCTGATTAATGTTGGGGACATCGCCAATATCATGCAGAACATTTGTAATATTGAATTGGGCAGGGCTGCACGCAGCGTAGAATTCGTCCAAATTTCACGTCATTTTAAAATTGCTAATCATTATTTGGCTGCTGACCTGTGGTATTAGAAATTCATAGTTTGATGTCTTACTGATTAGGGAACTGTAGAGGAATTTAATAAACACTGACACATTGATTTAAATTGGTACCAAAAAATACATTCGGATAGCAAGTTTAAAGATGCATTCTAATCGATTAGATCACATTTTATTCCAGATTCTTCTTGCAATCTTTTTCATCTGCATGTTAAAATATGAATGAGCAAAGATAAGGCAAAATTTGAAATAAACTATAGTGGGGGTTTCAGCGGGGATTGTATATTTGTATGTAATTATGCTATTACAATTATATCAAATAATTATATTTATGATTGGAGGAGGTTTTATCTACGTAAGTTCCTGCAGCGCAATGATCAATTAACTCATATACAAATGAAATGCAAAAAGCGATAATGCTTTACAACGAAATAAAATTTTCAACCTTCTATGACAATACTTCAGATATTTTCATCCATGTAATACAGTCATTCAATCCATTCGATTGACCTTGTAATAAAATTATTTAAATAAATTCTTGATTTAGCATTCATCATTTTTACTCTCAACCTGATCAATTTAAGGTGCTGTAGGAAATTTACATAAATAAGTTACATTTTTGTCACACGAAATTTTCACATATAATTTTACGATTTTAGCAGAATAACAAAGAGCATGTGCCTTGTATATAAGGAAGTCTCAAGTCACAGGTTGTTCAGTAGCTGCTGGTGTGTGGCGGCGTGAGGGTGTCGGGCGGTCCTTGTCTAGCAGCTCTCGAGATCACCGACCTTGGCCACATCAGAAGCATTGAGAACTTTTAACATCGAATAAATTGAGGTTTTAATTTTAAAAATGAACCGTTGTTGGAAGTGGTTATTTGAGGTTAAATATTAATCTAAAAATGCCTGTAATGTACCTACATGACATGAAAATAAATTTTTTATTCCATGATAAGTAATTGCTTTCAAAAGTATGTGTTAATGCGTATAAAACCTGAAAGTAAATTACAACGTGGTGCTACAGAACACGATTGAGCAGGAAATGCGTGTAAAATGCCGAGCATTGCATTCCCCTCATATCATTTTAGAACCCTCAGCCCTCAGAACCCTCGGCTCTCAGTTCTAGGTCACCGCCTTATTAGTAAGTGGCGTTCATCCTATGTAGTGTAAAATTTTGTTTATTGTTAAACTCATCTTGCATGCCGGGTTATTGTAAATGAGAATCTTTTTACCCGAAATAATAAAAAATAATATTGTTATCCGTCTTATAACATTTTGTTATTTTTAACCACTTACGAACGCTGTTAACCGTAAATGTTCGTTATCATGATTCGATTTTGTTAATTTTTTAATTAATTATTTCAAAAAAATTGTTATTATGTAGAAGCCCTTGAAGCTCAGTAATAAATTTGAGCATGGAAAATAGAACGTTCTCAAGGCTGAAATCTTGAATAAAAAGTGTTCAGAGATTTTTTTTTTAAATTTTAGTGACTGATTTTTTGACGTTGGTTGTACTATGAATCAGGAATTTCCCTGATTCCACGCAACTTGGAAAACTGCTATTACATTCCTAAATGCGCTAAATTTACGAATTACAATCGTTACGAATTATATCTTATACTTAATATCTCTACGAATCGTTTCTCATTATTACCATCACTACGAATTATTTCTTATTATAACCATCACTACGAATCATGTCTCATTATAACCATCACTACGAATCATGTCTCATTATTACCATCACTACGAATAATTTCTTATTATTACCATCACTATGAATTATATCTTATTATTAACAACACTACGAATCATTTCTTATTATTACCATCACTATAAATTATTTCTCAATATTACCATCACTACGAATTATTTCTAATTATTACCAACACTACGAGTAATTTCTTATCATCACCATAACTACGAATCATTTCTCATTATAACCATCACTATGAATAATTTCGTATTATTACCATCATTACGAATTAAGGAATATTTTCATTACCAATCAGATTAATATGAGGAGTTTAAACCTGAAGAATAATTTACATGTCATTATCTTTTGCCGTAAAATAATTTTTTTAACGATATTTAAAACTCCAGGTCACTGCGAGCAGAAATTTTTCTTTATTTTGATGGCAGTCCCATTAACTAATGACTGTTAATGTGCAATTAGCTCAGGGCTGAGTGGAATTAACTGTAATTATGTTCGCATCTTATTAAGCTTCCAAGGATAGTCGAGTGGATCTAATCAAAATAGTTTACTGGTGACTATCATCCACTAGTCTTTATCGCAGTCACTGCCATTGATGGTTCTAATTAGTGTTTTTGTTCGCGTAAATCATTCACTAGTTATTGTATCAGTCATTGATATTGTTCGCGTAAATCATTCACTAGTTATTGTATCAGTCACTGATATTGTTTGCGTAAATCAATTATTATTATTGTATCAGTCACTGATATTGTTTGCGTAAATCATTCACTAGTTATTGTATCAGTCACTGATATTGTTCGCGTAAATCATTCACTAGTTATTGTATCAGTCACTGATATTGTTCGCGTTAATCATTCACTAATTATTGTATCAGTCATTGATATTGTTTGCGTTATTTATTCACTAGTTATTGTATCAGTCATTGATATTGCTTGCGTAAATCATTCACTAGTTATTGTATCAGTCATTGATATTGTTTGCGTTAATCATTCACTAGTTATTGTATCAGTCCCTGATATTGTTTGCGTAAATCATTCACTAGTTATTGTATCAGTCATTGATATTGTTCGCGTTAATCATTCACTAGTTATTGTATCAGTCACTGATATTGTTTGCGTAAATCATTCACTAGTTATTGTATCAGTCATTGATATTGTTTGCGTTAATTATTCAATTCACTAGTTATTGTATCAGTCACTGATATTGTTTGCGTTAATCATTCACTAGTTATAGTATCAGTCACTGATATTGTTTTGTTTGCGTAAATATTTCTCCAGTTGTTGCATGAATCGCTGATATTTTCGGATCTAATATGCATGGGTGGTTGGATATAATAACATTCATTTGTTATCATTTCAGACGCTCGTATTGACTGATGAAATACTTGTGAAAATTATTACGCATTTTTTAACTCATGCACAATTAAATATGAATAATAATTAATGAAATTCATTGATTTTCAATGCTTGTCAGATTACCAGTCTCCGAGGCACAGATTTTATTTATTTTTAGCGCAATTCGTATCCGTGATGAAAATTTAACGCTGCTTATCAATTTTACAATAGGTCGTAGAATATATAATTTCCTAAGTTGACAGTATCATCATTCTGTTTTATTTTTTTTTTAATTTCTACCCTTTTTCAAACGCTGAAAGCAAAGTTTTAAAATTTAAATTTCACGTGCTTTTCTCAACGCAAATTTATTGTATCATCTTACTGACTCATTTTTGCAGCAATGAACAGCAAATAAATAATAATAAATTTATGAACAAAGAAACACCCAATTAATTATTCTATAACTGGAGAAAAACTTGTAAAATATTATATAATAATAAAATAGAACGATAATTCAGGTAAAATTTGAGTATTACAATAAAGCCAACTTGTATAAAATTATATTCACACACGTGTCTTAACTTCCACGAATTTAAGCTATACACATAAGCCGAGTTCAAAGCCTGAACTCAGAATGAACATGGCTGCCGACCTCTCACAGCCAGACCTTCTTTGTGATGCCATGCAATATGTCGCAATAAACCTGCCGTCCAGCGAGCATTCATCTCAATTGCCTGAAAATTTTTGAAATTCCAAACTGCAGTCCTTATAGCTTATCTCTTGACCGGCAGCACAGAGAAGATTTTTGATAAACAATACATGCTATGGTAAAGGGCACTTACTAACGAGTACGGTTAGGAGTACGTTCTCAATTTTAATATGTAAAATGTTCATTAGTAGTATTTAATTTTAGTATTATATGTTCACTTCCTACTAGAATAGAATCTAGGCATATATTTGATACAAACTTTCGGTGCCTAAAAACTCAATTCTTTACTTTACATTCCACTCTCTACTCTAAATCAACACACTCAAACACTGTGCCATCGAAAGAGCGGGAATTTCGAGCATTTTATATGAAACTAAAAGGAGCACAAAAGCTGAGGCTTTTTCCTGTTTGCTTGAGGCAAACAGACGATGGTGAGGGTTTACTCAGACCAGAGGAGTAATCATACAAAATGTGGTGCAAGTGGCATGAAAATGTTAGAATTGTAGAATTTTTGTAATCGAGAGTAGAGATAATAAAAGTGAGAGAAGTGAGTGTCGTAGGAAGAAAATAATATGAATATAAATTTAGCGCTTTTTCCTAATATATCGCGATCAATTATTTAAGTGTTTTTTTACATCGAATACAATTTACAATAGGATAAAATCTCGATAATGGGAAAAATAACTTAGATTTACAATTTCTTGTCTTGAAACCGCTTAGTGAAGTTATTTTATTATACGTATTGAAAAAAATCCAATGTTGAGTAACTTACTTCGAGTTCTTAAAATAAGTTTTGGTTCTGATCGTACCAAGGGAGACAATAATTGACTATTGATGTGACAAATAATCTTTTATTGCATTGTTCCAGGAAAATTCGCTAGGTTTGTTCAGAATGTTTCCTAATATATCATGTAAAGCTGTTTTTAAGAAAATTAGCAGAAATAGTTTCGTATTAGTTTGCTTCCGTGTTACATCAGTTAATTCATGCTAAAGTTGAAATAACTTTCATGTCATTAGCGCGATTGAGCGAAACAGAAAAAGTTGACAATTCCCCGTGACTAATGCAACAAGTTATGTAGGCAATTATTCTACATTATGTCAGTCCATATACACTATCCATTTCTGGATCTCGATAAAATTGAGGTATAACACTTGTTTTATGTCCATCTTCTGGTGCTAACCTATAACGATTTAACAAATGCAATCAATTATATTCCAATAATATTCTATTATTCTATTTATATTCTATTAATTAATAAAGTAATTCATAGGTGTGTATTAAGTTAGCCTCGGCTGCTTGATGGTAGTAATGGGAGTAATTAATCTCTGCCAAACCTTGGTTGCAGGAATAACATAGTTGGTCCTGTTCAACCTAATATTCCAATGTGTTACGGCGTAATGAATAGGCCGAGATTGCGGTAATCATTATGGAATGGGGTGATTTAAACACTGTGTATCACTTGGATAATTTATACACAATAATTTTTGGTTGCTCCGTCTAAAAAAGTGAGATTTTGTTATGTATTTGTCAGTCTATTTGAATGTTTCTTCTCAATATTGAACTTCTAATCTTCTTCTAAGGTGTCCGTTTTGAACTTTTTACGTGGAATATTAATACGAATGAACTTAAAAATGCCTTGGCCTTATTAAAATAATAAAAAAGGCCTTTTTAAAAAAGCCTTGGCCTTATTTGAAAAAAATCTAAAAAGTTTTGAAGCCACGGCGGGGAGAACGCTGCTGATAAATACAAAAAAAAAATATAATCAAATTTGCGAGAAATGGCGAGGAATTTTCCCGGAATTGAATTCCAAAGATGAGGGCCATCAGTCAATGAATGCTTGAGGTATCGCAACTCCGATTCTCTCGCATTGAATTGGAAGAAAAGCCTTCCTAACTGGAAGTGTAACGAATGTCTGAATATGAAATCCTAGAAATGTATTACATGCCAGATTAAAAAAAATTGTGGTGTAGGTGCGACTTCGAAATTGAATTTTATTTAAATTCGATTGAAGCTTAACCATGTACAGCTTTCTAAATGATGGCGAGAAGCTAAAATAGTGAAACTTCTGGACGTGATTATGGACTATATATCAATTATCAGAAAACTTTCAGCTAATCTTGGTTAATAGGATAATAAGGAAGAGCATCATAACTTAATAAAATATTCTTCATTACATTTCAACATCCATTGAAATCTGCCAATCAATCCTTTGTTCCTCTTGTCGTCATGGTCTTTTCGCATGCAATAAACGTAGTCTCGAGTTCAAGGCTTGGAATTTCCGCGTATATTCTATTGTTTTCCAATTGTTGTTACGTGCCAAGAATTCATTTAAGTTGTTGTTGGCCTGGTCACGATCTTGTACGACGTCTTGAAGCTTTATGGACTTCCTCAAACAAATAACAAACACGAATTGCATTCTTTATATATTTTTCCACGCACTGGTCACTGAATTTCCAGTGCCTCCGGTCCGCTATGAAGATAAATGTCTGGGTTAGATGACCCCTTTGTGGGAAGATTTTTTCGGCCAGACATTCAGGAACGTTTGAAAAAATATCGAGAGGCATTTCCCATCGATAGGATTTAGCTCAAAATTTCAACGAAAAGAAAGAACTTAGTGGGTTCATGTACGATAAAGCTTATAACATGTAACAGAATAGTTAATAAACACGTTCCGCACCATCACAGAAAATTTTTTTACTTTTCTTCATTGAAAAAGAATTTATTTGATTGATTGTAAAATTTTTGTAAAAGTTATTCGAGAAAATGAAATAAACCCTAAAAAGGTTCTTTTGCATATTTGCGGGCGAACTCTTGATAGCAATTCTCCAACACGGAAAAGATTTATTGTGTCAAGAGGGACCGCGTTTACATTGCACAATATTTATTGCAAAATTTTTTCTTTGTTATTGTTTAGATTAAATTTCGACGTTCCTGCGTGAAAACAAGTGCACATCGTAGGGTGGCAGCGTGGTTGTTTTTAGAGCTTGCATGGAACTCTGCAGGATATCTGGGCACGTTCGGCCGAAATGCTCGTTACTGAAGCATAAACTTTCAGCTTCAGACTTTGAGAGTTCGCGCGAAAGCTAAGTTCCACTAGAGCGTGCAATTTACGATACAAAACAAAATAAACTCTCCTTGTTAGATAGTTTTTATTTTCGGGAAAATTTCAACAAGCAAAACTCTTTCGTTTTGCCATCCTTCGAAACAAAATGGTTGCATGCCACTGACTTATGAGATAGTTTTTCTAGTAAATTTCCTAGAAGTATACAAAAGTTAGTAAAATAAATTGTTGGTGTCGCCATTATTAAACTTTGGCGCTACAAGTTAGAAACATGCCCCTACAATAAAGAGAATCGCATGAGCTCTTCGTTAGTAGTGTTTTCAAAAAATATTTTAGAATTAATCTCAGGAACTTGTGTTAGAGGGTGGATTTTTGTAATATTCAACTCATTGTATCTTCGATCTTTTGGTGTTGAAAGGTAAACTATACCAGGACCGATTAATCAAAACATCCTCCAGTAAAAGAAATTCAATTTTTATACAAGTCCATTGGCTCGTCGGTGATTGGTTTTATGTTGAAAATTCTTCCAATTTTCATCGACGAATCTTCAATTTTTTTATACCTGTAATTTTTACAATTGGAGAATCTACTTTTTGTCGCTCAGTAAACTTAAGCAAGCAATAAATTTATTTTCTCTGCAAATAGCAGAAGCAAAATGCAGAATCTCTTGGTGATTTAATAAACTGTGGAGCCTGAAGGCAGTTGATTTGAACGTTTCTTTCGTACCCTGAGCTTCATTCACAATTTTGCATTGCTGGTAACAACTCAGATTGTCTATCATAATAGACTGCTTGGATATATCAAACAATACCTTGTCTTTTTATGTAGGAGGGAAGATATAGGAAATAATGATAGTTTTGTCACTTAGTAATCAGATATAGCAGTATTAAATATTCCAGTCCCGTTTTTCGTTTTGATTTCCAAGAAACGACAACCTAGACATACAGATTTTTTATGAAGATTAATAATTTGTAAAATGTAAATAACGCTCCTAACCAATTACAATTTCTCTGCCCAGGTTTAGTCAAAAATGCAAGACTGGAAAATTTTATTCATATGGATTTTGCTGGGACTCATCAATGAAGTACATGGAAACGCAAGAGGAGGTTCAGTGGATGTGCTGGGTGTGCCGCCAGGCGCGTCTCATGAAGAACGTCTCGTATCCGCACGATCTTTCCTGCACCAAACAACTTTACTTGTGGGGTATGTACTTTTTTGCGCATTTTCTCATTTATGGAAAAAATGCGCTATTGTGCTCGCCATGTCCGTCTGTCTGTCCGTCCATGACTTCATATTTTCGTCGACGAGAAAATGCGCTCTCTGTCACTCACTGCAGTGAGCACTGAGTTATATTTTTTTGATGAATCACAACCATATGAGGTAATAGTACATACATAACTATTTATTTATGAGGTAAGTAATATTTTTGACTCATCATTATAATCAGTAGGTTAATGATCATTATCATTATGATCATCCTCAATCATTTTCATTGAAATAAATAGATTTTAACCAGGAATTTAAAAGCAAAGAAAATACCACAAAAATTCACCATATCTTTATAAGAGAAAACGTTTCGGAGTCCAGCTCCATCGTCAGTTATACATTACATGTTTGTAATATATTAAGAATATATTACAAACAAACCACTTGCCTATTGCTGTGTGATAGATTTAGATACTGTAGATCATCATCAAACTGTGGATGATAGATTTAGATAGATTTAGAAGATAGATCATCATCAAACAAGTGAATTGTAGACATGAGTGCAAAATTGGTTTCTTCGGAAAAAACGTATGTTTTGTTTTCATGATTTAGTTTGCAATGCATTTTTATTATCAATGGATATTCGGGTTCATGAAGGATTAATATCAAGTTTTTTACTTCAGAAAATTACTCGAAATCTTCGTATAAGAGAACCTCAGAAAGTTATATCCTTAGATTATCCTCATTATATTTATACCGCATCAAAATTCTCATATATTCCTTTTTCCAAAGGTTCTTATATCTCACCATTGGTCTGACATAACTGACAAAACATTAGTTTGTACGTATATTAACAAAATCCGTCACTCATGGATTGAATTTGAGCCCAAAAAGCAGAACTTCCCGAAGACGCAGCCCGGCCTTACATGCATGGAATTCAACAACTTCCAATAACGTAACTCAACTTCGAGTTACGCAGCGTCGCCGTCACTGAAAATTATGGGGAGAAGCTCCCGTAAACTTGTCCAATGTATGTCAGGAAATATCGAGCTTAGTCTGAGGTAAACGAGCTGCAAGATTCTGCTCGCGTGAAGGCAACGCAACCGATGTTATTTAGAAAAACGGAATTTAAAAAGGAAAAATAGACACAAAGTGAATTTTTGACATTATAAGATTACTTGTACAAGGATTTGGAAACGTTACTTGATTTTTTAGTTCAAAGGATAACAGGAATAATTAAAATTTCACCTATGATTTCAGAGACGGGAGTGACTAAGGAATTTTATATTTGACGCTCTATTGACACACCGGATTTAGTTTTTCATTATGTGTAAATATTTTACCAAATTTTGAGCTTAGCTATGATTACATCGATATTTTCGGTGGCTTCTGAATTAATGAGCTCTTATTTCCATTTCTGACCTTTAGTTTGTATTTAGTCAACGCTTACCAAGGCTATTTACTTAGAATGATTCAGTACGGAGAATTTATAACGATTCCATACGGATCCGGTTCAATGATATGGGTGCTATAAGTTTAGGCTTTTAATTCATAACATGGTGGTTGTCAAGATGGAACAGATAATTTTGTTTTTACTGCTTTTGTTTGCTAAGAAACGCTCTTCAGCTTTGGCGTCTACAAAATCAAAATGCTGGTTTTCTTTTAATATTAAAGATTATTTGTAGGCCGCTTATTAGGAAGCCCGAAAGTTTCAAGAATTTGTACAGCATTAAATGGGTCCATGTATAACAGCCTTTAAAATAGGTAAATATTTTTTTGTCCAGGATTTTCGTGCCAAACAAATAGTTTCATCAGTAACCACTGTTGTTTTGTTTTTGATCTTGATTTAGTTGATGAATGTGCACTAGCATTTCGTTCACAGCTTAACATTCAATATTGTGTAATTGATGCTGTAGAATTTCAAAAATTTTCAACAATTTACGGTAATTTGCTTCTAATAGGTATTGTCGATCATATTTTGGCGCAACAGGAGTAATAAAAATTGAAAAAATGGTACAATCCACTTCACTAAACCAACGGATTTTAAATTCAGTATTTCAGTATAAATTATGAAATGGTGCAAAGTTTCCCATCCATGTTTGCTATGAGACAACCAGAATGAGATACATCCCGTGATAGTCAAGACTTGATCTTTAATAGTGCAGGAAGCTCAAATGCCACTGGTTACCTTGTAACAGCTTAAATCTTAACCATGCATCTAAACGTTACCAAATTCTTTCACTATTTAAAGACACAATCTTAAAATAAACTTGAAAGCACCCTTAAATTGGTGGCCACTCACCTCATGCAAGCGATGCCGCGGAATTTAATTTTATTACAGAGCAGAGAAACGTTACCAAATTCTTTCTCTATTTAAACACACAATAGTAAATTAGACTTGAAAGCATCCTAAAATTGGTGGCCACTCGCCTCTTGCAAGCAATGCCGTGGAATTTAATTTTATTACCGAGCAGAGACCTTTAATTTTGCAGAGCCCGGCGTCTAAGATGGCCTCTCGAGGGCTCAAAGAACAGCACTCAGGCTCGCAGAACCTCTTCGCTGCAAGGCCTTCTTGAACTGCAGAGATCTAAAGTAGCGGCGCAGGTGAGAAGACAACGCACAAGAAGCGGGAAAAATTTGAACTTGAATGGAAAGTAATTGGTCTCGATGGCGCTGAAATACGTTGACTTGAAGTGTGCCTGAATGAAGTCATTGCAGTAGACGACGCAAGGCAACTACTAGTGTCTGAATACACAGTTGAAATTCAGGGGTTTTAAAAGTCTTTTTAAATGTTCATTTAATAATTAACGATATAATTATGCTAATTCGTAGTGCCCGAATTTACCTGTTTCAGAATTATTTTTTGATCTCAACTTCGTTTCTATAATTTTGTTGACTTTTTTGGCGAAGTCAAAAGCATTTCTCTATTATTTTTGTGAGTGCCAGATACATATTACTTATTATATGCGTATAAAAGTCGGTATTATTATCTATATTATAGTCTTTAATAATAATTACCACACGATCATTATGGTGCGGTACAGATGTGGTCCCTGGAGGTGCCGTGTGGGGCTCAGTACCGCAACGCCGTGCAGCTGCTGCTGGAGCAGCTCGATGCTCTCAAGCGCATCATCAACGCACACGCACGGTATGATGCACCACCACGCACGGTATGATGCACCACAACGCACGGTATGATGCACCATCACGCACGGTATGATGCACCATCACGCACGGTATGATGCTCCATCACGCATGGTATGATGCTCCATCACGCACGGTATGATGCACCATCACGCACGGTATGATGCACCACCACGCACGGTATGATGCACCACCACGCACGGTTTGATACACCATGCACGGTATGATGCACCACCACGCACGGTATGATGCACCACAACGCACGGTATGATGCACCACCACGCACGGTATGATGCACCACCACGCACGGTATGATGCACCACCACGCACGGTATGATGCACCACCACGCACGGTATGATGCACCACATCATCAAAGTTGGTGTGGTGAGATGACTTGATTCCTCTACATCTTATTGGGTGTGAGTTATTAGTTGTTAGCATAGTCATTGTTATTGCATTACGAGGGAATGCGTTGGTGGCAAGGCCTATTTTTATTTTTAGGAGTAAAATCTTTGGTCCACAGCTGAGCTCCCGTGTGATGCACTTGATATTAAAGTATTATAGTGATTTATTATTTCAATGTACATGATTAATTTAAATTGTAATAGCGTGGAAATTTTAAGATGTTTATAAGTTGAAAATTTATTTTTATGCTTCAACGCAAACAATTTTACATTCTAGTATTGTACATTCGACAATGAAGAATTTCCTGCACATTTTTCTCTACGTTATAGATATGGCTGGTTGGTTTCGATAGATCATAAAAAGTAAAAGATTTGCACCAAATTACAATGATTTTTAATTTGTATAATTACAATTGAGAAAAAATATACGCGATCACTTCGCGAAAAAAATGTACGCAAATTCTAAGTCTGACAGGCATAAAGACAGCTTTTATGACGCTGCCTCGTCATTCTGGTTGAATGCCACTCAAAAAATTCCTGATTCTAAGCACGGACAATTTCCGAAGAAACGCCGCTTCTCCAGTTTATTTTATAAATAGTTTTTTTTGGGTGCGAGTTTATCGAGTTTTTGCACTTTATTCAGACTGGCAGCTTTCGCCTTTTATATCGTCCACAATGTCGACGCTCGTGATCTTGTTAGGAGACTTTGAAGCCTCAAAACGCCACAAAACTTGCAGCAATATTCCAAGTCGATGCAATCTGTAAAACGTATAAAGTCTTGACAAAATTTACGACCTACACAAATTTTTTATGTTCATAAATAAAGTGACTTATAAAGTTTATCAACAAACCTACACGCTGAATACGATTTAATTCTTTTATATTCAATCCTCTAGCATGTTATATTAATTAACGGCTCGGTAATTAACACAATATGATATAAAAAATAGAATAAGACGGGATTCTTTAATATTACCTGGGCTTTTAAACTTCATTGTAATAATGTAACGGACAAAATGTTTTCCAACGCTGCCATAATTTTTCAGAGTGATTCATACTGAAATTGAAACAAAATTCCTATTTGTTTTTACTTGGCTGCGATATCCGGCATTCAGTAAGCCGCTTGCCATGCGAAATAAAAATTTTTATTCGTTGCATATCATCTCCAGCATTGAGTGTCGAAAAACACGGAAGTAAGGATGCGTTTTCAAGCTGCATCCTTTTGCGTATTTTCTAAACATTACATAATAACCGTACGTAGATAAAAAGTTCCTGATATTTTTTTTAGGAAAACTGTCTTAATCAGCAGGTATAGCGAAAGAATTCTTAATTATTATAGACATAAATGCTCGAATAGCGTAATAATTAATGGAAATTTTTTCGAAATGATTTCGATTACCGGTTATTTCTTCAGTTTTTAATTTGTATTAGAGGACTAATTCTCATATCTGTCTCATAGTCATTAATAGGTTTTGATGCTGAACCTTCTTTCTTCTTACAATAGAGAATCGGAATCTTGATTACACATTTCTTTATTCCAAAGTCATGGCATCGTTAACAGGATCAATATATTCACCATAAGGTTAACCTTCATATACGAAAATAAGAGCCAAATTTTTCTACTTTTTTCATTCATTTTATTTAATTGTTTGTAATTACTCGTGCATTTCAAATGTAATTAAAGTCATTTAAAGCCCCTTTCAAACTCCTATATTTATTTCTAAGCCAACTGGATTATGTTAATATGATCCTCGATTTATGTCCTTATAATATATTAGGGAACGTTCTACATCGATTCACATTCCTAAAAATTCTTAATGGATATTTAAAATACAATTTCTTAGTTTGTAAGATCCAATTCACATTCCTAATTCCGTAATAGATTTTTTAAATCCAATTTTTTTTTAATTTTCAAGATCCAGTTCACATTATTACTTCGAAAAGGATATTTCAAATCAAATTTTTACATTTTTGAGATCCAATCCCCATTCCTAATTTTGTAATGGATTTTTTTAAATAAATTTTTTTAATTTTTAAGATACAGTTCACATTCCTAATTTCGGAATGAATATTTTAAATACAATTTTTAAATTTTCGAGATCCAATGCACATTCCTAATATCGTAATGGATTTTTTAAATTCAATTTGTAAATTTTTAAGATACAATCCACATTCCTAATTTCATAATGGATTCTTTAAACTAAATTTTTTAATTTTTAAAATCCAATCTACATTAATAATTCGTCATTAATATTTTAGATCCAATTTTTAAATTTTCAAGATTCAATCCACATTCCTACTAATTCCGTAATATTTTCTCGTAGAGATCCACAGCGCTCGGGACGCAGGTTTAGTGGGTAGCCTGGTGATGGTGGGCGGAGGCCACAGCTTGGGCTCCAGCCTCGGTGTGCTGAGATCCTTGCCCGAACTCGGGGTCACCGGGCTCACTCTCACCCACACTTGTCCCACTCCCTGGTCAGTTGGACGTAGATTACTGTGTATTGTATAACTTAATTATAATCAAAGCAATACTCGTAGTCACTTGAATTTATTGTTTAACATCACTTAACTTGGGTTTACTTAACTTGACATTACATAAGTTAACTTAACATTACTCAACTTAACTTACTTAAGTTGACTCAACTTAACTTAATTTAACTATAATTAACATAAAGGAAAGGCTAAAGAGGCCGAACCTACGGGAAATTTAAATGTTTAGTCGTAATTAGTCTTTTTGCTACTTGATCTCGGCTTAACTCGATCATTTATAACTTTTAATTGTTATGGCTGAATTTTAAAGTTAGAGAATACTAAAATTTTGTGTAATTCAAATTTACCTTCGCTTACAAATGCCTAATCTTTTTATTTGCAATTTATTCCTAGCTTTACCCTGAATTTCAAATGTCACTCGCTCACATCCTCAACGATTTGCATAATAATGATAAAACTTCAAAGTAATATTGAGCCGACACGTGAATTTGCATTTGGTATTCAGAATTTTGGTATAAAAAATACCCTATTGTTCCTCGTCCATTCAGGAGTAGACTGAAACTCGAGTTTAACCACCACGATTTTATATGTTCTAACAATTTTCTGCTATGAACAATCACTACTCTAATGATGCACTGCTATGAACCATCACTACAACTCTAATGATGCCCTGCTATGAACCATCACTCCTTTAATGATGTCCTGCTATGAACCATCACTCCTTTAACGATGTCCTGCTATGAACCATCACTCCTTTAACGATGTCCTGCTATGAACCATCACTTCTCTAATGATGTCCTGCTATGAACATTCATAGGAACAGGAAGACACACTTCCTGTTCCTATGCAGTCGTCCGTAGTTTATCAATATAGTTGTGCGCTATGCGCATCTGCGTATGTCGGTTTACATCTCGCAATTTTTATACTAGGCTGGCGGAGCATGAAGGAAGGAGTTTTAGAACAGGAAACCGGCTTGCGTATCCCCCTCATTCAGCAGTACGCGTCCATGCCGAGCAATGCAACGTGCCAGTGTTCGATAGTAATTTTCGAATTTTAGCCTCCACGACCGGTGTTTCCGACTTGCGAATTTTAGAGTCTCTTTATATTTTTAAACAAAAGCCTATTTTAAATGCCACTAATAGTTCATATCCCCTCGAAATTGTAAATAGATAGGTTTGTGTCCGTGTTTGCTTCATTCTTGTTTGTTTCTCATTTGACGATTTATGCTTCAATGTGAACTTATTGCTAATTGTTTGTACCTGTGTTTTAGGTTTTGAACTGATGATGGAGCTGGTCTCTGAAACGTTTTCCTTTTTAAGAAATGTTGAATTTTCTGGCTATTTTCTTTGCTTTTAAATTTTTGACCATCACTCCTTTAATGATGTCCTGCTATGAACCATCACATACCCATAATGTCCTGCAATGAACATTCACATGTCCATAATGTCTTGCAATAAAGCATCACTTCTATAATTATGTCCTGCAATGAACCGGCACTATTCTAATGATGTTCTGTTAAGCTGTTATGAACCATCCCTCTTTTTATGATGTCCTGTTATGAACCATCACATGTCCATAATGTCCTGCAATGAACATTTACATGTCCATGATGTCATGCAATGAAGCATCACTACTCTAATGATGTCCTGCTATGAACCATCACCTGAACCATGCACTGCAATGAGCCATCACCTGAACAATGTGCTGCAAAGAATCTTTTCTTTCCTCAGGGCTGAGAGCGCGACGTCGTCAGATCAGCCAGCCAACACTAGAGGGCTTACGCAGTTCGGCAAGGTTAGATAAAGACCCCAACGTAAGCCTTACATAGGATGAACTATTAAATAAATCCTATTAACTATTATCCTATTAACTATTAAATCCTATTAACTATTAATAATTAACTATTATTAAATCCTATTGAATGAACTATTAAATAAATAATAAATAATGCCAACTCTCTGATCGTAGTCTTACTTCTCATAAGCGTAATACATAAATTCAATTTAGAAGCAGAGTGTGTTTTCTGCTGTGGATATCGTTTTACTCAAATTTTGTTCAATTTCCAATCAAATTTATTTATAAATGCATTAAACAAACAAATTAACAGAGAATTGGCTACGTAATACAGTTAAAAGAATTTGAGCGCTACGTTTACAGCAGCAACGCAGACAAAAAATTTAAACACAGTTGAATTAAATATTCATGGAAGCCGAAGAAAAACTGATATAATGATGTCCTGCTATGAACCATCACCTGAACCATGTTGTGCAAAGAATTTTTTTTTTCCTCAGGGCTGAGAGCGCGACGTCGTCAGATCAGCCAGCCAACACTAGAGGGCTTACGCAGTTCGGCAAGGTAAGATAAAAAGATCTCAACGTATGCCTTTCATAGGATGAACTATAAAATAAATTGTTCAATCTTTAATGCTAACTTTCTGAACTTAGGCCGGCTTCTCAAAATCGTAATGCAAAAATGCAATTTAGAAGCACTGAGTGTGTTTTGGTTGTGGATATCGTTTTACTCAAATTTTGTTCAATTTCCAATCAAATTTATTTATAAATGCATTAAACAAACAAATTAACAGGGAATTGGCTATGTAATACAGTTAAAAAAATTTGAGCGCTTCGTTTACAGCAGCAACGTAGGCAAAAACTTTAAACACGGTTGAATTAAATATTCATGGAAGCCGGAGAAGAACTGATGAGTTCACAAGAAAAAACTGTTCCCAAGCCACAAAGCCACAACTAACAATTTTTCGTCCGCTTGAGCGGAGTTCCCAGAAGGTTTTTGTGGACTGCAACAATCCATTATACATTTTTGTTGTGTTTTTTTTTTTCGTCCATTCTGGCGGGCGTTCAGGTAGAATAGCGCCATTTTTTGCCGCTTTGAAGATATTGTACAGGTTAACAAGAAAGCTATTTTCTTTGCTGGTCCTTTGCGCGTTTGAAATCAGAACTGATGGTGGTTTCGCATCATTTGTGTTGGATTATATATTAATATTATTATATATATCCATGTATAATGTTTGTTGTGAGTTTTGGAGATCATAAGCTTATAAATTCGAAGAGAGGGTTGCTTCAAAATTACTTTCCTTTACTTTTTTGTGCTTTTGTATATTCAGTGAAGTTATTGCTATCCAATTAGATTACTTAATTTAAAATCTTCATTCAACACTAGCGTGGTTTTATTTGATATCATGCAATCGCTAATAACAGCTTCAAACGTAATCTCATCGCTAAGACTTCTTTGAACTTTACTTTTTTAACTACGAATGCTTTCAGAGACTAATTGTTCATCTTTTACAGCTATATTTAACTATGTGTAAGTCATTTAATTTGATAAACTGCATTCATTAAATTGAACGTCATTTCATTACTAGAGTGCTTACTTTACAAAACCGTATACGATGTCTAAGCGATAGCATCCAAACTTTGGATATCACCACTCGGGAACTGTATATTGTATTACTAAATTAGAGCAAGCAATTGTATTAATTGTGACAATGGACTTCCAAGATTCCAAATCTATATTGATTGTTTGATGAGCGATGTACCTGTATTAACGGAAACTATTCATTACGCGTTATGTTGTGAGGTCTCTCCAAAGTTATTGACATTGACGTTGTCAATGCATTCATCATTGGCGAAAGTGGATAGATCTATCAATATTATCATCAAGATCGTATGGCTATTTTTTCTGCTTGTGTGCATTTAAATGATATCAATTACACGTGTGATTATGCATTTTCAATGGTTTAAATGACAAAATTAAATTTGAATTGAGTTAATATAATAAGATTTAGGTTTAATTTAACTTGAACCACCATTATGGCTGTGATTGCAAATGGGAATTCAAGAAATTGAAATTAAGACCTGAATTTACAAATAAAAAAACAAAAAGCATGAAAATAAACTGCGAAACCTTCCTGTTCACAACCTGTTTTTCCTTTTTTTTTTTGAGTTGTCGCTAAAGAATCGCCATCATTTTCAACGCTTACACTTGAGTTATGACTGGGTTATAAGAACGTACGCGGAAAGCCAGTGTAACAGTAAAAAGTTTAAAAAATATAACTCAGTACTCAATGCAGTGAGCGACAGAGAGCGCATTTTCTCATCGATGAAAACGTGGTCACGGACGGACAGCCGGACAGAAAGACAGACAGACAGACGGACATGGCGAGCACAATAGTGCATTTTTCCCATAAAAGAGAAAATGAGTTAAAAACACGTTCCCGAAGCCTAATGTCACTCGATGTTTAACCAGCAGTTACACTTTCTACTCTCAGGAACAAAGTTACCAAAGTATCACAAAAGTCGAGACGAACTGGTGCTTACCTTGCAGGGCGCTCGAGATTCTCTCGAGATGGATTCTCGAAGAATTTAGTACGGCGATATCCTGCCATTGGTCTCCTTCAAACAGAGTGCTCCGACTTTTTTGGAACTAAGGCTATGGATAAATTCTCTAACATTTTCCTGAAAGTATAACACTTAAAGAAAGATTTCTCTTGGAGATTGACGATCATGGCATATATCAGCGCGGTTAATTATGTGTATACGGGACGGGTATCAACTGCTACATGTGTCATGCTATTTTTACCCGAAATTAATTTTGAAATTCAGATACTAGAAGCCCCATAGAAAGTTCCCTTTCAAAATACTAGAGAGTACCAAGAGCCGGATCGACAAGGGTTCTTCACATTTAAAGAAATATTGATCTGGGCCCAATCAAGCAGGGTTTCAGAAGAAAATATGATATTATTTTGACTGACATTAAATTTGACGGCCTTAAAAAATTAGTTAACATGATGAACCGTTCAAATTAAAGTCGAACTTATACGTCAAATAGCTCACAGTATTTTTGCTCGCCTAAATTTTCTGTTTCGTTCGGATTCCGATAATTGAACCAATTTACCTTATTGACAATGATTTTTCGGCTCAAGGTTAACATTCACTATTGACAGAAAGTTCGAGGGGCAGGTTCGTTCCTTGTTCAGTTTCATCAGTCAGTAATGGGTTATTAATGATATATCATCTGTAATAGGATATTATATATCTATCGGTAAAGCGATATTTTATCCCATTATATCCATAATAAAGATTTGTATATCGTTATATCCTTCAGTACTGGATTGTTGTATGCCATTATACATCAGTAATAGATTCTTGTATCATATCATGTAATCCAGTAGTAAGTTATAATTTTCAATTTTAATTATAGCAATTATTTCTGTCACTAATAGTTTATTATATAATCATCCCACTAGGACTTGGTAGTGGAGGTCAGTAATAGGTTATTGTATCACTTCATATAAGCTAGTAGTAAGTTATCATTTTCAAATATTTCTGCCACTAATTAGTTATTATATAATCATCCCACTAGGACTTGGTAGTGGAGGCCAGTAATAGGTTATTGTATCACATCATGTAAGCCAGTAGTAAGTTATCAGTTTCAAATACTTCTGCCACTAATTAGTTATTATACAATCATCCCACTAGGACTTGGTACTGGAGATGAACAGGCTGGGCTTGCTGGTTGACGTGAGCGGATCGTCCGCGGCCACTTCACGGGACGCGATGTTCGTCTCCAGAGCGCCCGTGATATTCAATAACGCCTTCACCAGAGCCAAGTGCCCAACCCTCGCTCCCACCGCTGTTGACGATGACATTATCAGCCGGCTGGTTAGTTCGTGATAAATGATGAAACATATGGTGTTGATAAATGGTGAAACATACAGTGACAATGGTGCGTAAATTTTTCGGAAAGAGGCTGTAAAATGAATAAAAATTGCAAGAAAATAAAATAAAAGGGAGATAAAATAAAAAAAGAGGGATAAAATAAAAAAGAAAGATTGTAAAAAAAGATCCAATAAAATATTATAAGGGGAAGTTGTGATATATTAGGTGTCAGGAACTATGCAGTCCAGAGGGTACGTAAATTTAATTCGTTGACTAATCAGCATTAAAAAGAGCATTCTGACATGATAATGTAACTCTGTAGAAAAAAATAAAATGCTGCAGTGTAGACAAAACGTAAATTCAAATTCAATTTCTTTAATTCTTAAGAAAGCACTAATTTTCCACGCTAATTAAATGCTAGATAAAGCCATTGTAGTGAATAGTAAATTTAGTTGGAGGCATTACGGCATAATAAACTCCTCGAAATTTCCTTGCAAATTATCAAAATTTGTGTTTTTTGCTGCTAACGCCTTCAATGTTCCCCCAGCATTAAACACCCGTTTAGAACGTCTCCAATAAACAATAGGATTTTAAAGTGTTGAGATTTACCCCCAGCATTAAACACCCGTTTTCAACATCTCCAGTAAACAATATGATTTTAGCGTGTTGAGATGTTCCCCCAGCATTAAAGAACCGTTTTCAATGTCTCTAATAAACAATAGGATTTTAAAATGTTGAAAAAAATATGTGTAAATTTTCCAGTCTCGCAACGGAGGCGTTGTGCTCGTGTCACTCACGCGAGGCAGCAACGGATCCCAAAATTCGTGTGGGCACAACCAGAGCGTCGCGGCTGTTCTAGGTAAGCTTTATAATAACAAATATAATTCTACATGATTATTCTCAATGATGATCCAATTTAATAAATTCGTATTTATTTAAGTATGAATTCCAAATGATTATTTTATACACCTTTAGAAAGAGAAAGATTCAGGGTACTTTCAACAGATTTATAAATGTTTAATATGTCCCCCTTGTGCTTCACGGCAAATATCTAATCTGTAGGCAAACTCGTCCCATACACGAGAAAGCATATCTTCTGTTACTGAGTGCACCGTAGCAGTGATACGGTTCTTCAGATCAACCAGGGCTGCTGGTAGAGGCTGGACGTGAACAGAGTTGCTGGTAGAGGCGGGACGTAAACAGAGTTGCTGGTAGAGGCGGGACNTACAGCATGTATGTTGATAATTGAGTTTCCTTCCATATGTATGAGATGGATAGTAACATTACTGCATTTTCTAATCCAGCAACCAATATAAAATAATATAATGTAATATAATATAATATAATATTATATTATATTATATTACATTATATTATTTTATATTGGTTGCTGGATTAGAAAATGCAGTAATGTTACTATCCATCTCATACATATGGAAGGAAACTCAATTATCAACATACATGCTGTAACAGAGGCCATTTTTACAGAAGTCGTGCAATTTATTTAGTTCATTAATTGATCTAATTAGTTAACAGTTATGATAAATACTGAATCTTTACAACTGCAAAGTGAACAAGTAGGCAAATTATTGATTATTTCCAATATACTGCATATGGTAACTATTGCCTGAATTTGTGGTTTGTGTTGTTATGATTAAATTATTTTATATATTATATTTGAATTATAAATTATATGACAATGACTGAGATTTCTCCACCACCAGAACATATAAATTACATACGGAAATCGGCTGGCGTTAAACACATTGGCATTGGATCCACAGATGAGTAAGTATAATGAAAAAAATTCATTAAAATTTGAAGAGAAAAATAAAATTATCCAACTAATTTTTTGTCCAGAAAATTAATCGTCGAAAATATGCCTAAATTTACATTAGTGTCTAATTTTTGTGCCGCGCAAATTTAATAGCGATGAAGTGGTTAATGCTGAATAAATATTGAGACTCAATTTAAATCAAGTAGGGAATTGGTGTAAACTAAAATACTTATTTTAGGCTTCCGGAGAATAAGAAAAAATTCTGTATATTGTGGACTGAGACAAGCAGTTCATGTAAGTCATTCTTCACTTTGAAATCACAAATTTTACTATGCGGACTTTTTTTTTCGCTGAAAATCACATTGTCTTAAACCAAAATGTAATTTGTTTCAAAAATCTAATATTTCATGGAAAATCTAATTTTTTGTACGGAAAATCTTATATTTTAACTTGAAATCACATAGGTATTCTCACAGGAAAAATCTTATTTTCACCGCAAATCTCATATTTATACCGAAAATTTCACATTCTCACCGCAAATCTCATATTTTCATCGTAACTCTAAGTTTTTCACCCTCAACTGTCCAACATTTTCCAGCAATGTATTCAAATATTTCTTGGTGCAGTCCAGCTCGCTACGCGCTGCTGGTCGCAGAGCTCATGAAAGACCCGAGCTGGACGAGTTCTGACCTGCACCAGCTGCTGGGTGGTAACCTGCTACGGGTGCTGGATGCTGTACACCAGGTATGCCTGGGCCAGAGTAGACTATAAGATGGGACAATTTCGCCTGATCATAATGAATCATAAATTCATTTGGTGAAGGTATAACTCTGCTATTTAAATCATAAATGACAGATAATTTCGCCTGAAATCCTAAATTCATTTGGTGAAGGTATAACTCTGCTATTTAAATCGTAAATAGCAGAGTTATATACGATTTAAATCGTAAATNAAAATAAGCATAGTCAGGATACTGCCCCACATAAATGCTGCACTTGGATGAAAAGAATTGCTGGCAGCGGTGGTTGTGGTGGTGTGTGGAGGTGAGACAGTGCTGAGATATAACCAAAAATGGCAATGTTATAGGTGCAGCTACACTAGTGGCATTACTTGTAGTTTTTTATCGTGCTTCATACATAGTTGACAAACATAGTTTCAAATTATCGGTAATTGTTAACTGGTCCCTTTTTTGTCCAAGTAAACCTTAATGTGAAGCGTATGATTAGTGGTAGATCATCAGCTCGTCCTAGATTATTTGATGGATTGATAAATGTTCATTATGAGCAGTTTTGTTAATGTCAACAGCAACGTGAGTTCGTCTACCTAGCAATGCACATTTTTGCTTGTGTGGCTCATACAAACCCATTTTAGCTCGGCGAAGGGGCATATCAGAGCTACGAGTGTGTAATAACACTCTCTCGCGTGTGTTATATGTACGTAATATCAGTGCTATCTACGTGTAAGAACGTTTGTGCGTGCATGTAAGAAAGTGTGTCACTGTTTGGACAATACTACCAATTCATCTTCTGAGTGATCTGTGTAGTAACGTGCACTGTCTGTGTTGTTTCTGCAGGTCAGAGACGAGATGGCGAGCAACGAGCCTTCAGAGGAACTAATCCCCATCCACGATATCAACGATCGCTGGCCTTGCCGCTATAAATTCGGCAGTCTGCCCTCCAGATAGCAAAGCTCTTGAATCCCATGGAAAAAATAAATGATTCTATGATACTTGTACTGGATTCAAAGCTACAACATGGAATTTATCATCACATATAGTTTTTGTATAAAGTTATATAAATAAAATAATTATATAAAATCGTCATCGGTATATAATGGCGTATGAAGATTAGTAAAGAGAAATATTTTTTGTGGTAACTTCGAAGGAACGAATCGAAATTCCTCTCCCATAACGAAGAAAAAATTGTCAGGCTTCTTCCAAAGTCGGAGTCAGACTTTCTTTCATCTCCTTGTAACAAAATAAAATGAAGCGAGACATTTTTGTTTTGAACTAGTCTTTGAATTTAAAGCTTCCTTGTAATAGAATTCGGAAAAATGTTATTGACCATTGTGTCGGTGATATTGTACTGTATTAAGAAGTTAAATTTCAAGTTTAAAATGATACTTTATTTAGATTGATTTTTTAGCAAACTTGTAAGAGTTTGACTCTCCTTTGGTTGACATATAACCATAAATTTCAAAGAAAAATAATTGTATTAGTGGTACCGTAGAGCGACTGAAGATTTTGACCATATCATAGAAAGCTGAATTTGAATTTACGTTTTTTTCGTCGTGCTGTACGGGAGTTTAGTGAAGTAAATGGATGAAGGACTAGAAGTACAAAAATTTTTTGTACATTTGTGTTACATTACAAAATTATCTGTTACAAATTACAAGCACATAAACAGATATTAGCTGAATGAATGCAATATCATGTTTGATTATAATCGGTCAAAATAAAAACTTCTATACTGGTTGGGTTGAATAAAATTTGTACCACTCTATTTCAAATTAGATTTTATGCTGGATCGATAGAACTATACTTCCTAAAAAATTACTCATCGCAGCACGCAAATGCAAGTCACGAATCTTTTTGTTCAGTGAATCTCATTAAGGTCGAATTGAAATTTATGCAACCTTTAATTCGATAATATCATTACAGTTATAACTCTGCGAAAGTTTTGAGTGAAAAATAGAAGATTGATACAGTAAAAAAAAAAACAGCTTATATTTTCTCATTGGCGAATATCTATGGCGGAATTTTGAATGAAAATCCAAACAACTACACTATGAATACATGTTAAATAGAAAACAGGTCCACCCGAAAATATTTAGACATACAGTGCGAGCAATTTCTGGCGCAAGAAGAAAATGATCTCCTCAGCAATACGGAGCAGAATATGAGCGTGGAAAATTCTGCTCGGAGCTGCGGCTCATAAAATAAGCATAGTCAGGATACAGCCCCACATAAATGCTGCACTTGGATGAAAAGAATTGCAGGCAGCGGTGGTTGTGGTGGTGTGTGGAGGTGAGACGGTGCTGAGATATAACCAAAAATGGCAATGTTATACATGCAGCTACACAAGTGGCGTTACTTGTAGTTTTTATCGTGTTTTAAACATAGTTGACAAAAATAGTTTCAAATTATCGGTAAATGTTAACTGGTCTCTTTTTTGTCCAAATGAACCTTAAAGTGAAGCGTGTGATTATTGGTAGAGCATCAGCTAGTCTTACATTATTTGATGGCTTGATAAATGTACATTATTAGCAGTTTTGTTAATGTCAACATCAACGTGAGTTCGTCTATCTAGCAATGCACATTTTTGCTTGTGTGGCTCATACAAACCTACTTTAGCTCGACGTAGGGGCACATCAGAGCTACGAGTGTGTAATAACACTCTCGTGTGTGTCATGTGTACGTAATATCAGTNTATTTCTTGGTGCAGTCCAGCTCGCTACGCGCTGCTGGTCGCAGAGCTCATGAAAGACCCGAGCTGGACGAGTTCTGACCTGCACCAGCTGCTGGGTGGTAACCTGCTACGGGTGCTGGATGCTGTACACCAGGTATGCCTGGGCCAGAGTAGACTATAAGATGGGACAATTTCGCCTGATCATAATGAATCATAAATTCATTTGGTGAAGGTATAACTCTGCTATTTAAATCATAAATGACAGATAATTTCGCCTGAAATCCTAAATTCATTTGGTGAAGGTATAACTCTGCTATTTAAATCGTAAATAGCAGAGTTATATACGATTTAAATCGTAAATGAAAGAGTTATAAACGATTTAAATCATGAATTTATTGGAGCTGGCTTGGGCAACGGTAGAATTTTATTTTTAAAATCGAAGATTCATTTGGGAAAGGCATAATTCTACATCTATATACATAAATTAATCTGTCGAGGGAATAATTCTTCCTCTGAAATAGTGAATTCCTTTAGGGAGGCTATAATATGAAGCTATAATATGAGCTATGAAACCGCACATTCATTGAGGGAGGCCTTTTGAAGGGCCTTCGATCTTTGGATTACTATATTCATTGAAAATTTCGGTATCATTTAGATTACTAGGATCACTAATTTCATTTATAGTTTCCGAAATAATTAACTCACAGAGTTTTAGCTGAAGTCCAGATAATAATTTACTTTTGCATCGTTTTTTTCGTCGTGCTGTACGGGAGTTTAGTGAAGTAAATGGATGAAAGACTAGAGGTACGACAAATTTTAGTAAATGTGTTGTAGATTAAATAATTATCTGTTACAAATCTAAGTACATAAACAGAAAATAACTGTATGAATGTAATTTCATGTATGATAATCTATTAAAATAATAACTTCTATACTGGTTAGGTTAAATTAAATTTCTACCACTCTACATATATCAAAATAGATTTTTATGCTGGATCGATAGAATTATGTCTCTCAAAAATTACTTATCGGAGCACGCAAATGCAAGTCACGAACCATTTTGTTCAGTGAATGTCATTAACGCCGGATAGAAATTTATGCAACCTTTAATTCGATAATATCATTATAGTTATAGCTCCGCGAAAGTTTTGAGTGAAAAATAGAAGATTGTTACAGTAAATAAACAGCTTATATTCTCTCATTGGCGAATATCTATGGCGGAATTTTGAATGAAAATCCAAACAACTACACTATGAATACATGTTAAATAGAAAACAGGTCCACCCGAAAATATTTAGACATACAGAGAGTGCAATTTCTGGCGCAAGAAGAAAATGATATCCTCAGCAATAGGGAGCAGAATATGAGCGGGGAAAATGCTGCTCGGAGCTGCGGCTCNCTTGATAAGTATTGAGACTCAATTTAAATCAAGTAGGGAATTGGTGCAAACTAAAATACTTATTTTAGGCTTCCGGAGAATAGGAAGAACTCTGTATAATATGGACTGACACAATTAAGCAGTTCATATACGTCATTCTTCACTTCGAAATCACAAATTTTACTATGAGGACTTCCGTTTGTTTTACTGGATCTCAGATTGTCTTAAACCAAAAATGTAATTTGTTCCATCCAAACAAATAATATTTCATGGAAAATCTAATTTTTTGTCCCGCAAATCTCATATTTTAACAATCACACATTCTCACACGAAAAGTCTTATTTTCACCGCAAATCTCATATCATCTCTGGAAGTCTATTATTTTCACCGCAAATCACATATATATATATACTGAAAATCTCACATTCTCACCTGAAATCTCATATATCACCGCAAATCTCATATCATCTCCGGAAAGTCTTATTTTCACCGCAAATCTCATATATATAGGTACCGAAAATCTCACATTCTCACCGGAAATATCTAGTTTTCGCAGCAAATTTCATATCATCTCCGGAAACACTTATTTTCACCGCAAATCTCATATTTATTCCGAAAATCTCACATTCTCACCGGAAATCTCATATTCTCACCGCAAATCCCATATTTTCATCATAACTCAAAGTTCTTCACCCTGACCTGCCCAACATTTTCCAGCAATGTATTCTATTTCTTGGTGCAGTCCAGCTCGCTACGCGCTGCTGGTCGCAGAGCTCATGAAAGACCCGAGCTGGACGAGTTCTGACCTGCACCAGCTGCTGGGTGGTAACCTGCTACGGGTGCTGGATGCTGTACACCAGGTATGTCTGGGTGGTAACCTGCTACGGGTGCTGGATGCTGTACACCAGGGATGCCTGGGCCAGAGTACACTAAAAGATGAGACAATTTCACCTGAAATCATAAATTCATTTGGTGAAGGTATAACTCTGCTATTTAAATCATAAATGGCAGAGTTATATACGATTTAAATCGTAAATTTATTGGAAGGTTTATGAGTCACTAACGATAGTCAACCTGGGGAACCTTTCAAAAAAAGTACAAACCTAACGGTGAGAAATACAACACAGGTAGGGTTATTGATTAAGTTCGAATGCCATTCAAGTGAATATGTCTACTTCGAAATTGAATAGTTGAATTTAAAGGTTGAAACAGATCCGTTTATCTTTAAGCCAGCGAATCCTCTATAAACGAGTTCATTAAAAAATTGTTCTACCCTTTACGTCGTTCTAACTCTGCCAAGTTATTAATCCAAAAATACAAAGCCTTTTAGCTGAACGATTTTATCTTACTGAAGCGAGCACGCGATCAAACGGGCATTAGCGCAAGCTCATCGACTACGAGTTTTTTTTTTTTTATTCCCGACACTAATGCAGGCAAAAAGCGCCGTGTTTGCTGCTGGTGATGCGAATAGAGCTCGGAAAGATAAACTTGGCAAATTACAGTTGTTCTTTCTAAGCTACAAAAAAAAACTTGTGAACAATTCATCCAATTGAAGTATGTGAAATAAAGTAAAATTGTTACGATAGCTGACCTGCAGGCAAAGTAATTTTTTTGGCGCTGATTCCGGCTGCTCACATTATCGTTCGCATATAGAAAATGACGAAACATGGGCATTAAATTTTGCCCCTTATATCCACATATATCCACTTCAAAAATATGGGAATATTACTTCCAGATGCAGTATGACAGTTCTAATACAGTGGTCCAAATGTGACCGCTCGTCCAATTTGGAAGATTAGCACGAGCGAAGAAGATTAGAACGGCAGCTGAAACGTTGAATGTAAATTTGTTATTCCCCTTGCTGTCCAAAAAAGTTTCCGAGCATTTTAAAATCGTCTGCGCTATCGTTGTCTTTTTTCTTTAACGAAAACTAAAAATGTTGGGGTACAAACAACATCTGTCCGCAGACTTCAATCACGCCAGTAATATTTATGGCCAGGGAAAATCGTGGCGGACCATAAATTAGTGGATATATCATGACTTTACATTAGAGGGGAACCAGTTACTGGAATGCCAATCATTCGTGCGATGGTGGTTTGCTCTAGCGTAATTATTCATGCAATGGAAACAGAGAAGATTGCATTCAATGCATTCATATCGCGTGGAAGTTGATAGATTTAATCTAGTATCTTCTTGCTTTTACGATACACAAAGTGATAATATATACTAAACTCATAAACCATAGCACGAATACAACAGTACAAGCTTTTGCAAGTCCTCTAATTAAAATCACTCTAATTGTGTAAGGAGGGAAACAATAAACATTTCATATCTAAAAAAATCATATAATAACAACATACAAAAACGTTTATCCTTTCTCACAAATAAAATTTTTACCTCTAATGCAAGCCGAAATTCTCGCCACTCACCAATTTAGCTTCAAGTTTATACTGTATTCGAGGATGATGTACTG